GTCACGATCCGTATACTTGCGGAATATCACGAACACCGCCCTACATTCTAGGCTGACAATCATGACATTTATTAATTTAAATATTACATCAATCATTCATAGATATTGTCTGCCGATCCCTTTAAAGACAGCGAATGTTTCAGTCTAAAAGAGAGCTTTGGATGAGGAGGGTACTTCGGCCTAAAAGAGCTTCAAGTAGAGATGGGGTTTCAGCCATGCAACAGTTTCGAAACAATGAGATCGGCTTCTTCTTTGACTTCTTTATTTTGATCAATTTGGTCATTGTTGACTGTCGATCTGACTCGATATTTTCGCATGAATTGCGGCATGGCTTCCGTTAGGAGCCTCGATGGCGAGGCGTAACAATTACTTTTCTAGAAGCAAGACTTAATTTTTGAGAAAGTGAATTTTAATCACGTATCAAACAACTGTGAGGATAATACGCCATAGGATTGACAATTTTTCCAACATATTTATATGTTTTGATTCTTTTAACTCCAAACCATATCAATGTTTACAATACTGAAAAAGATAAAAATAAAAGTTTGATGTCTCCTACTGATAATTCCCTTTTAGAATATAACGGAAACACTTGTTGAGATTATTTAGTATTACAAAGACACCACATATCTTTTTAAATTATATATAAAAGCATCTCTTCAATTTTGTTTTCTATCAATATTATAAAAACCATTCGGCGTTGATTAAAAAATGTGAAGGGTCCATGAGTCGAACTTGAATCAAATCGAGGTCGAATCAGTAACAGTAAGAACAAATTTAAAAATATTTGAAATGAACTGGACAGTTCTTAGACTTCCTTCACCTATTTCGAATTTCCCCATTTTTTTTTTTTTTTAAGAAGCGATGTTTGTGTAATAATCAGTAACTTCTTCATGCTCCATTTCTATTATTTTGTCTTTCCATATTTTTAATGAAAATTCTATCTTATCTATTTCAGCTGAATCTCCTTCTAATCATATACGTTGGATTGCCTCCATAATTCGAAAGTCCATTTGTTTTGTTAGCAAAAAGGAAAGTTTAAAGTTACGAATCAAATCAATAATTAAATAAACAAACTACACCGTTAGTTCTCAGTCTATAAACTTTGTTTCAATTTAGTCCCTGCCAATTTTTCTTAACATGTCTCCATTTGTTAGCTTTGTAGAATAGTGATTAATGGAAAAATGTGTGATTAAAAAGTAAGGAGAATTTTTGGGTTTATGTGTAATATTATTTTATTGATAGAATATGTAGTTAAAACGAAGAAAGGGAAAAAAAATAAAAAAGAGAATAAGAAAAAAATTGATGTCAAACTAGAGGTACAATTACTCCAAGAAGTAAAGACAAAATTGCACGATTAAATTTGTATTTCTTTAAAGCTCCATAGGAAATAAATTTTAATGTCCATAGAAAAAACACGGTGTTATAATGATTTGGGTTTTAGAAGCTCATTGATCTGAAGAGCCTCATCCCTGAAAAGGGAAGACCCATCTAAGGAAAGAAGCTCATGTTGAAGAGGCGAAATACCATTTCAGGGATGAGGCTCGAGGCTATGTCCCATTTTAAAAGACGAGGCTCTTCTAGAGAGTCGAAGTCCCATTTGAAGGAAGAGTATCTCGCTGAAAAGGGAAGACCCATCTAAGGAATGAGACTCTTCTCAAGAGGCAAAGTGCCATTTAAGGGAAGAGATTATGTTGAAGATGTGATGTCACATTTAATGGATAAGGTGTCGAGTTTTAATCTGCCATGTATGTGTGTATTGAAGGCTATCTTAATGTTAAATCTATTTAGAGTGATCTAATAAAGATTTAAAGTTATTAGGCTTTGGACATCTAAATATAGTATGAGACCTGATTCCTTTGGATTGGATTTCATGATGGACCAAAAAATATAGGGTTATGGTCCCAAATTTCGTACGTGATGCTTGATAAGTATAGCTTTTATACTTATTCGAGACTCTAAATCATGATATTTTATTATCTTTTGAATTAAATTCTACTTAATTTATG